TACAATAAAACTAGCCGAGATCAGGATAGCAGAAATACAAAAATACAATAAAACAAGCCAGGATCAGAGTAGCAGAAATACAAAAATACAATAAAACTAGCCGAGATCAGGATAGCAGAAATACAAAAATACAATAAAACTAGCCGAGATCAGGATAGCAGAAATACAAAAATACAATAAAACTAGCCGAGATCAGGATAGCAGAAATACAAAAATACAATAAAACAAGCCAGGATCAGATCAGTAGCAGAAATACAAAAATACAATAAAACTGGCCGAGATCAGGATAGCAGAAATACAAAAATACAATAAAACTAGCCGAGATCAGGATAGCAGAAATACAAAAATACAATAAAACTCAGAGTAGCAGAAATACAAAAATACAATAAAACTAGCCGAGATCAGGATAGCAGAAATACAAAAATACAATAAAACTAGCCGAGATCAGGATAGCAGAAATACAAAAATACAATAAAACTAGCCGAGATCAGGATAGCAAAAATACAAAAATACAATAAAACTAGCCGAGATCAGGATTGCAGAAATACAAAAATACAATAAAACTAGCCAGGATCAGAGTAGCAGAAATACAAAAATACAATAAAACTAGTTGAGATCAGGATAGCAGAAATACAAAAATACAATAAAACTAGCCGAGATCAGGATAGCAGAAATACAAAAATACAATAAAACTAGCCGAGATCAGGATAACAGAAATACAAAAATACAATAAAACTAGCCAATTCAGGATTACAAAGTTCAGAAGACTCAGTAAACAACGGCAAAAATCAATTTACGCAGGTAACGCATTATGTAGAACATGAAACAACCAGCTGAGGTGGACACTGATTGGTCCCAGCAACCTTAAAAAGTGTGTAGAGGGGTGCTGCAAGAATGCAATGTCCCTTTCTCTATCAGGCAGCCTAAGATCATTTGCCTAATGATCGGTGCATTTGGAAAGTTGGAATGGAAGTGCCGTCCTGGACGGTAGAAGTGAACCGGGAGGCGGTACTTCCCGAACGACATGTGCATTGATCGGGTAATTAGCGCAACATAATTATATGCAGCTGATCATCTGCTATTTTACATTGTGTCATAAAGAATAGAGAGAAGAAACAAAAGGGTGAACCATTTAGTAGGTGAATCCTTCTGAAATACGAGTAACCCAGATAAAACGTTACTTTTAATAATATAGTGTAAAAATTGATGTAATAAAAAATAAGAATAAGTAGAGTAAATATAGCTTCTTCTTAGATGGAGTAAATAAAACTCCTAAATCACATAAGGAAAAAATAAATAAAGTAATAAGAAATATAACCCTATTATTTGGATAACAAAGAAATAACAGAAAGAAAGAAATAATAAGAA